GCAGCATGTAATAGTAATACAGGCCTGGACCTCCTAGATGTAGAAGAAGCAAGACTGCACACAGCGCGCAAGCTAGATGTACTAATATACTAGTGCTTATAGTAGCTAGCTACAACCAGCCACAGGCCTAAACTCTCGGAATTGGTCTACATCATGATGTAGGCTAGCCTACAATACATTTTCGACACTGTTCACGCGGACGAAAAACGACACCACGCCAGGCCAGTTACTAAATAGAAAATGAGAAGATATTCCTCACGCGATCACGATGTATCGATATTGTACAGACTGTTACTTGCTGAAATTTCTAATTGAATTCATACTCACAGAACCTTTCAGGTTGACGCCCGGGCTTCAGTGTTTGGTTTCACTCATGCTCGTATTTACTTCATGTACTTGTTTATTTACGAATTTTTCATACGCACTGCACTGGGGAAGCGCGCGCCCCCATCAACACACCCTTAGGATAAGCGTCAATAGAGGGCCCTATTTCGAAAACCGTGGGGCATAACTCAGTAATGGGGAAAACCACGCCAATGCCATGCGATTAACTGGAGCGGAGTGTTCATACTACGCCCACACAATTCAGACGGCTCATTAAGACAGAGATCTCATAGTCTTTTTTTCACTCAAATGTAATAAGAATTCACCGTCAACACTAATTTTTAAAAGCATTTTCTTTATGAAAAGTACCAAATTTAATATAAGACAATTACCTTTATAAACTCGCAATGACCTGTGAGGAAACGAAGATCACAGTGCAGATTTGGGCCAGGGGCGGGCCATGCCTCCTCCAAAACAGAGCCAATATCTGTTTTGACCTGTACAAACAGAAAGGCTCTTTTTCGGTCTATTTCATTTTCCTTATTTCCCGAAGCCTGTACCCCCATGTATAGCCTTTTTTGCGCAGAGCGTTATATTCTGTTCGTTAAAAAATGGATTTGTTTTCAAGGTTGAGAAAATATCTTAACTCCGGCGGTTGCCCGGGCGTAGCTAGGGTTTGATGCCTCTTGTAAAAGTTAAATGACGTCAATGTAGTCGAATTACTTTTTCCAACGCATTATTCGGTAGTTTGGTTACCTTGTTCAACGTCCATAGTATTCATTCACGGTCTATGTTGTCGTAAGATTTTGTTTCCTGGTTTTGCCTTCAAATTTCCAGGCTTTTCCATTCTGCCACCCTCCCAGTCCTCTTATGCTACTAGTATCCACCCTAATTACAGCGGAATGGGTTCTATGCGCCAACTTCTTCGCACAGACCTCAGTCAAGTGAAATATTATTACCGTCGCGAAATACACTGGATATTCATACCCACTTGCAGTATGTGCAACCACATTGGATATTCATACCCACTTGCAGTATGTGCAACCACACTGGATATTCATATCCACTCGTATGTGCAACCACACTCGATATTCATACCCACTCAAGCGGTGTGCACCCACCGCCTGTAGAATTTAACATTCAACCGCACTTCAAACTTTTGAAAAGGGTCATGCCCCCCTGGCGACTGAAGATTTTTCAACTTTAGACATCCATAGTCCATGCTGCGATTACTTTGTGGACTCGTTTGACTTGCTGGATAAAAGTATTCCAAAGTGCGCGCCGGTACCTGGAGTCATCGCACTTTCAACTTTCAATCGCTAGATCGTAGGCCCACCACTACAAGCGTTTCAATTCGCATCCCATGTCGGTGATAGACCTTTACCATGGACGTCTCTCTCCTTCTCATTTGGCTGGCATCCATTCCCGTGGTGTTTTACATCTTAGCTTTTTATGTCTCACCACGACCCCAAGACGGCGAACCTTCCGTTGGCCTGTGGTTCCCCGTCAGATACATCTGGCTCCGGTGGGCCCTGTTTTGGTCCAGGCGCAAGTCCCTGCACCTGAACCGACGTGTCACAAGCTACGACAGAATGGTGGCCAAGGCGAGAGAGATGAGCCGACGGGAATTCGGTGCGGTTGGAGCGCGCCAGACACACGTAAGTTAGGTAGGGGTGGCGTGTCATTGAAAGAGCAACCCTCAAGTGTGTCATTCTTTACGGTGGCAAATTCATGAGCCCAAGGGTGATATCATTCAAGGCAGAACAGGAGTGTCTCAATAGCCTTGTATAATCGCAGTTATTCTACATTTTCTTAGAGTAAGTTTTCACTCTATTCATTGTTTCCATGTTCAAAAACTAGTTTAGAGAAAAGTATTAGGAGAGACCAATATTTCTGCAGAACATTGTTGGTGGGTGATTTTTTAGAAAGTTTTTTTTTACTTGCCTTATGCCCTTATGACAAGGAGTGCCTTGTAACTATGACAACATCAAAATAGTGCCCTCTGGCATAAGTTGATTACAGTATTTTTGAAAACTTGAAAAACTACCACCCTCTTTTCACTTCCAGTTTAAAATAAGTATTTAGGTGTTATTTCTACTGTTCTAACACATGGTAATAATTATGCACTACTGCATCTTTGATGGCACTGACTACACCACCGTTTTCCAACAAATTAGTTTTTATGTTAAACTTATTCTTGAGGTCATCAAAAGGTCAAAAAATTACCATTGTCATCGATAATAAAGATAAAAAATGTATTGACTTCTGCAGACTCTCAGTGCTTCCAATAGATCTTTTTTGCATACGTTGATATTTTTTCTTTATGATAAAGAGAATGAGAACATCAGAAAGAATTCTTTTCAAGGTGTCTTCATGGGGAAAAAAAGGAGTCAAAGAAGTCCCTTCGAAAGGGAGCGCAGAAGAGTTTCCAATAACCTTACGGCATGAGGGCTGAAGCCAAGTTATTTCAAGGCGTTCTTGTACCGGTGATCCCTAATTAACATTCAAAGATACGCATCCCGCCAAGGGGATGATCTTGATTTACTTGATTTGAATTCATTTCATCATCAATAGTTGGATCGGGTGTTGTCTGGAGTGTTTAGAGGTTGGGTTTTCAGTTAAAATGCGGGGTAGAAATTATATGACGAAGGGAATTTTTTTAAGTTAAATTGAAGGAAACAATGTGTAGCGGACCACCATGCCGCGAGGGATCAAAGGAAAAGTAGCATTTTGTGGTATGACTTTTGAAAGTTGTGTTGTTATTTTTTTTTTTAAATTAAACTGTCCCTTCAGGGTTACACATCGTTGTACATCAACGGTTCCGACACTACCGGCGATCACCGGATTGTGGTCCGTGTAGTCCTGCGGCCTGACGGTCGACGTGAAGTCTGCTTCTTGCTGCGCGTCCGTGGCGTTGGAGATCTGGTCCTGCCCAAACACCCGGCCTGCTTATTTGACCGCGTCCCAGCCGAGGGGTTCGTCGGGGAGGGGCTCAAGTGCTCCGCGCTGGAACCGCTGAGGACGTGGCGGATTAGTTACAATGGACTCTGCCGGTAATGTTTTTGAGATCAAAGTTCTCTCTTATCAGAGAGTATTATGACGGGAGAACCTGGGGGCGGAGGGGAGCTGGGCTTGCTTGTTTTAGGGCACAGAATTGGGTTAGGGTCATACAGCTCAAGATTTTTCTTGGGAAAAGATGCTTTAAGCTTGGGGAGGTGTGGTCAATGTTGTACCGGTAGGTCTTTGGCGGTCTCGATACCTAATGGTCTCGTGTCTTGATCTCGGTCTCGGATATTGGAGGTCTCGATATTTTCCCTGTTCTCGAGCCAAGAGCAGTCAAAAACCAAAGATCGACACCATATTATGCACCACCTAATTCAAGGATTTGTATTACACGTTTTTCCAACTCCGTGTGCGTTGCAAGTTCGAAGGTTGCGCTTTGCACACACCTTGCATTCTGGAGTCTTTCGAGATGTCAAGCAATTAAGCTGTGATCAAATTTGGTTTTAGACACCACAAAGAGTATTTCGATGCGAAAGCAGTGTAAGCAGTCAGTTTCCACAATATGGCTAGAAGTCTAACAACTTTGTTATGTTTTAGAATGATTGGGGGGTTGAAGCCTGCTAAAATTGAACTTCGTTTTACAGATTTGTGTTAAATTGATTTCACTGATGTATCATAGCACTGCTATCCAGGAGCTCGCCAAGTGATATACGCCCTAGTGAGCAGTGACAAAAGCAATCATCATTAAAACTGTTCTTTGAAGATTAATGCGTGGTGCCGCTTTGTCAGCACGTACAAGGAGCAAGAAAAATGCTTCCTTTAAACCAGACAGAGAAATCATGATTGTGCCGTAATACTCATTTCATTTAGGTGCTGCATTTATTTGAATTATGCAGTTTAAACACAAGGTCTCGAGGTCTCGGTCTCGAGTGGTGAGGTCTCACCACTCGAAGTCTCGGTCTTTGTCCTGGTCTCGGTGCTCCTGCTCTCGGTCTTGGTCTTGGACTCCCATTTATGAATATCATGGATGTTTTATGTTTAAAATGGATAGTATTCGCTGGCACCATTTTTCCCAGGACGCACTGTAGTGCAACTTAACTCAGCTTGGGTTGATAATTGTGCGAAGATTTTATTATCGTTTGTGCAAGGTCACTCAAACAGTAGAATAACCACTGGAAACTCTGGCCAAAGCCTTTCGAGCAAATATACGCTTGACATAATGCAGCGTCGTCCTCCGAAGACACGACCACACATTATTATGAGTTTTGCTCACAGCTGACTTCGCCCACGTTGGCCAGCGATACATCCTTCGATGGCCTTAGCAGATAATTAGCGTAAGGCTTTCCACAAGTTACATTGATACCCGGGTTTCTAATCATAGAAATGATAGCAGAAGCCAGATGTAGCAGAATGCCACGAGAAAGTGTTTGTTGAAATTCGGGTCTCTTCAAAGACCTGGTGAATCCGGACTGAATCCGACCCGATAATGGATTATTTTGGTTTGCTTATCCAATGTTTGAGAGATTTTTTGTTAAGCCGTGCTTACGATAATGCGTTCTAATCATATCATATTGTTTGTCCGATTTTGTTTTATCGTACAACTGTCTTAAACGTTAACTTAGACTCGATTTGATTTGTTTGGTTTTGAAAATTTGTTTTCATTTAAAACAACGTTAGGTTAAAGAATCGTTTGGCCCCTTGTAACGAGGAAATTGAGTGAAACCTGTACAAACTAATTAAAACCCCGCCAAGCACCACGCCCATTAATTTTTTAAAAACGCCCACATCAGTGGGTCCGTATTAATGGGCGGTCGAAGGGGGAGGGATTTGTTCCTATACATTTCATGTTTCAAATGATTTGAAAATTTCAGTGTTGGAATAGCGAGAGCGGTGGGAGGACACGATGACCGGCCACTGGTTCACGTGCGATGCACGTTTCTGTAAGTATATTGAGTACCAATCTGCACTCCATCTTCCCTCTATTGAGCTTATTTCAGTGAGGCGTGGTAAGGAAGCGGGTCATAATTTGGAAAAGTTGTAATGAACGTCTCGTTCTCATTCAATAACGGGGGTGGGGAATACAGCATCCGCCAAAGCCACAAAACTCCCTTAAAATAAAGAACAGTTCTGTAGTACCTCTACATACCGAAATGCTTTAGCCAGTGTGTGGAGCAAAACGTTCGTTTCCTACCATCATTGCTGAACGCCTTAACCGGTGCATTCTTTGAAAGATATTGCTTGACAAAAATCGTTTGTATTTGCGGCAGTGCCTTTACCGTGTCTCCCAATATTCTCTGTTTAACAGGTGGAGTGCTTTCACCTCTTACTTCGACTTCTCTACTGATGTCCACCTTCGCTTGGCCGCAGAAAATCTGGCAAAAGTGCCAAAGAGTGGAATGGCAGAATCTATATTTGGGTGCGTTTACTGAAGCTGTTGTGATGACGGATATCAAAATTTGTTTATACCGCACGACGAAACAGGAAGCATGTGGTACTTGCTCAATTGTGTCTAAGATTATTTTTGATTTAACATTTGTTTTTAGCTCCCCTTCAGTATTTTGTGTCCTTAATTTTCTCACGGTTTCATTCGTTACGGACGATTTATGATAACCAAATTGTTAAAAAACCCCTAAGAGGGACATCAGTGAAAACTCTAAATATAAACAGTACAGTGACTGGTGTATGGTGAAATCGATCAAAAGACTTTTCATCTTCCTCACATATACCTCAAGGTTATCAATAAAATTCCGCTCGTCCAAAGTTCATCCGAAGCAATCTTCGAAATCAGTTAGGCTTTTCATTCCTGCTTTATTTTCTTCGTTTCGTACACGCCATTAGCTGGTGGCCTGTGCAGGCTTTGCTTACACAGTGTGGACCTCTGCACAAAAGAAGTCTGCATAATGTAGGGTGTGATGACGTTGTGTGTGTTCACAAGTATTGCAGTGGAGTTGAAATATTGTCTTAAGTTCTTGAATTATAAAGAACAAGAACAAATGGTAGACTTGAAATGAATTAAGTCCCCGGCAACTGGCCAGGTTAGGTCCACTATGGCATAACGACTTGAGTTTAAATCTTAACAGTAAACAACGCGACCAGAATTTGCTACCTGCGACTGGAATGTTGTTTGCGTGATGATAAGAGATTATCATGGGTGGGGGCGGGGGAGTTCAGGACATGCAATTTTTTTTTTGGATACACAACTAAGCTGGATACGTTGCTGGTTATCATTTGCTCTATTGAACCTTTGGAAGTTTTTGCCGGTTGTTTTCACAGGGATAATCAACACCAGTATCATTATGAGCAATTTGGTATGATCCATGGCGTGATCCAGGTCAGAGGTCAAGACGAGAAGACAGTAGTCATGCGCGGTGTGAAATCGCATTCCTCCGGAACACAGCAGGAAAAGGCCGAGCGACACATCGTGAACCACATAGTACTTGAGGTGGGTTTTAAGCTCGACCACGCGACAAAACATCCTGACTTACTCCACCAAGCAGATGGAGTAAACAGACGGCAGATTTGTTGGTTGGCTTGGCCCGAAAGGGAAAAAATACGGGAATTGGGAGAGAGTGTTGAAATAAAAGAGAGAAATTAAGGACAGAAAGGAGGAGGACAGTCAGTACATTGAATGTCTCGGAATTACCCCCCCCCCCACACCGTTGACTGTTTGCAAGTCTGCTACCATTAAGTTCATGGATCTCTAGTAAGAGCTACGTCAATACCTGCACGGCGACACCTGCATCTGCCCTGCACTACGCCCAACACCTCTACGCTAAAACATTCGTAGATATTATGTTGTATGTTTTCTCCACACTACTAACTACAAACGTTTGTCCCTCTCCTTGTAATGATTAGGATGGGACTTGTCTACACGTCGGTGCATATTGTCAAGAGGACTCAAGGTCAGAATTTATTCATTTTTCCTCGAAGAAACATTGTGAAGAAATGTGATTAATTTAGAAACATATTCAGCGTCAAAAGCTTCCACTTCCTCTAAAACAATTTGAAAAAAAAAATGTGATGTGGATCACAGAAACAATATTCGATTTTATGAGCGCAAGCTGGAGCTGAATGGCTGTGTAGCCCCGCCCCATCTGAGATGTTCATTTAAGCCCAATATATATAAATCTCTTTTCTTACAGTATATTCTCTGGTTACATGACCAAGCCCAACGGGGCAATATTTCCAGCTGTGTCCGTGGATCTGTCCGTTCGTAGACTGCTTGACAAGAACAACAACCAACTACCCAAGACCTTCTCATTTAATGTGCGGTTCGAAAGTAGGTTATTTGGAACTCTGTCGTTTTTTATTTCATAAATGTAGGCTGGAAGAACACTTTACAAAGAACTGTATTAGGAACTTCAGTGCCCTTTGTGGGAAAATGCATAGTTATAAAAAAAGGTTAAGCCAATGAAATCAAGCAGAATGCAAGAACTTCACTTGCCGTGTGATGGATTTTATATGATCGGGTGTCAAATACAAGACGTGGACACCATGTGATCAAGGGTTTCACATTTATCCAAATAAACAGTATGGTTAATATAAATAAACTCGAACATGAGTGACTGCCGCAAAGCGATTCCAAAATTGCAATGGTGGAGGACAGAAAAAGGGACCGTCATACCTTTAAAGTTCAGGTTTGGATTTTGCGATAAAAACTAGTTTCTGATCTCATTGTAAACTACACTGTGTAAACCTCCAAATGCTTTATACTCCAACGCCCACCCATAAACTGAGTATACAAACAAATGAACTGATAAATATAAGTGCGAATGGTAGCCTTGATCACTGCGTTGGTGTGGCATGCCACTTTCAGCGACATTTGTGAATAATGAGATCAAATTCAAGTTAGCAGGTTGCATACATTTCGGGGACCTTGTAAATACTATCCATAAATCATGGCGTCGTCTGGACTGAAAGGAGAATAAAAAAAAAAGAAACACCATAGCGAGCCATTCAATGTATATTAAGGTTCTCTTAACACGAATGTAGCCGTCCTTGTGTTTGTTTCTTTAACTTGAAGCATTTTTCCAGTTCTGATATACATGTCATCTCTTTTGTATGTGGAAAATGTGTGTTCCCTGAAGTAACATCAAACAATCGCGGAGAAGCAAAGGATGAGACATTTTTTTTTTCATCTTTTTCAGTCAGGTGTTAGCTTAAAGAGCAGTTTCTTTTCAGTCTAAAGTCTGTCTCCCGCTTTCAGCGGATGCTTTCATAAAATTCCTCTTCTTGGAGTTTAGGGAATGTGACCAATATTGGTACAGACGATACCGGAATGGAGCGGACCAACATAAGACAGGGTACAACTGTTGCCATCATTTTTTACCGAAGACGAACTATAACCAGAACCTTAATTGATATGCGTGCTTCTCTATCACAGACAGCTTCACCGTTAAGATACAAGCCGAGATAGGGGAGAGAATGCACTTCGACGTGGAAAGAGAGCAGAAGTTGGCAGAGTGTGTGGCCCTGACTAGTTACCGGGCCAACGGCGTGGCTGGTCAGGGAGTCTGCCAAACGATGATCAGGTATACTCTTCATATCACTAGTAGGACACCCCTAACACATTTTAGTCACCAGTGAAGGGTATAGATGGTGGTGCCGAGCCCATCCCGAGATGTAAACAATAATGACAAGAAAAGTTATAGATATTACACATCGATATATATGAGAACAGTTATATTTTTCTCAGTATCCTTAAGGAACGACCTTTTTTTCGACAAACCCCATTCCATTGTCACTTTTCGATACACCTGCAAAGGTTATCATATCTAATGGAAAAATCAAGTAACATTCAAGTAATTTCGACTTATCTTATAGGTCAAACGAAAACTGCCGTACCTCTCCCCAAGACACTCTAAAACTCTATAAGGAGCCAGGTTGGTAATGTTTACAATTTAACGCACAGTAATACAGCTGCGTACAAATAAGGATGATGTGGCTTTTTTGTGGAACGCGATAAGGGGTATTTTTTCCTTTGGGAAACGCTCAGAGATTAGGTTCATTGGACTTGCCTTGCCAATTGAAAACTGGTTCACCAGGGCATCCTGCACACTCACCTTATACTACAGTGCTTATTACTGACGTATCGGTTCCTCGTATTTTGAGTTTCACTGCCGTTGTTTGCTTTCATACTTTTGTGATAACCAGAGAACCTTTCTGCAGATGACTTAGCTGCCTGGGTTCTGCCGTTGGCGGCGTCCTCATGTCGCGTTTCTTCGCTTACGGGGGGCAAGGGCTCACAACTTGCTATGTTGATTGAACTCACGAAACACAGGGATGTCGAGGTGGGAAATGTTTCTAATGTTCAATTTCAACAGATATATTTCTGAATTACGTGACAAAAATAAGAAATGAATGGCAAAATAAAAGTTATTTTGCTCGTACGCACTTCTCTATACTCCGACAAGGGTTGGTATCCTTGTTTTTTAAGCCCCCATTGACTTGAAGCTTGTTTGCGAACTTCTGCGCAAATGTCGATACCTGAACACTGAATGCGTATGGACATTGACTTAAAGCAGAAAGCCAAACCATCGACGATAAAGGTAGGGCTACTCGTGTAAGTTTAATGAAAAAAAACACAACGCTTAATTAGCTGTTATCGGGCTCCTTGGATATAGTGTTGTGTGGGAGGCAAATCAGTTTTAAATCGGCCTATCTATGCAGCTTACATCTAATATTGGTACTCTGCATGTAGAAATTTACATCATTATTTTCATCAAATGTTTTGTCTCCAAAGCAAGATAAACATTTCGCGACTTTGACCAGCATTTTGAAGTAAGTTTTGCGTGATTATTTTAATTTTTCAAATCGCATCCCAATATTGTCTTTTTCCCAAAAGTTTGAAGTTCCCAATGGATTTTGCCTTACGACGACAGCCTTCAACTGGCATCTTCAGGTAACTCTATGCATTTCACTGTCTATCTTATTATTGAACAAAACAACTTTCTGAACTTTGGATGAATTAATCGTGGATGGTATTTATCGAGAAAAATGTTATAAAATTACACCACAAGTCCTACAGAACTGTTAAGTTTGTACATGGTTTCATTCCCTGGTTGTAGATTTCGTTACACCAACCTTCATTTGTGTATTCTATTTAAGAACCTCTTTCTGGTTCCCTTTTAGCTTCACGAGAAGTTGCAAACCGCCATAAAGACATTGAGCGAGGTGTCTTGTGGGATACAAAATGGGGACTTCAAGGCATCATGCGACAGGTAGCATTGACAACATATTTGATCAAACGCTTAACAGAAAACAACACAGCCTACAATCGACACACTTACGACATGTTTCAGGAAAATGCAAGACCAGCTGTATATTTTAACCAACCCCCCCCCAAAAAAAACAAAAAAAAAACAGTACTAACATTCCAATAATAACGAATAGATAATAAGTAGCAAATAATCAATGTTTGAGTTCGACTCGTTAGCACTGTGGCGATGTTCAGCGAAGCTGAGCTGGCAGACGACATGAAGATGGTAATTTCCCACCAATTTCGCGAGGTCCTGGGAAGTCCCAAGGAGGGTCAATCGTATGCCGTGAGGTCATCGGCAGTGGGTACGTAAATGTTGCACCCAGCACTATCCACATGAGAAGAAATTTCTAAACTGTTTTCTCCATTTTCCGACTTAGGAGTATGAAAGAGGAAACTGGCTCTAGTAGTTCTACATTATTGAACTGTATATATATTGCTGATTTTTAATGCCCCATGACATGAAAATACATGTACCTAATAAAAACGTTTAGCTCAGTAGCCTTTGTACTGTGTGTTACTGATGCATTTACACATTAGTCTCAAATTCAGTCTCGATCTCGTAATAAGTTGAAATGATTGATCTTCTTGTGGTGAACTGAGGACGTCTCACTCTCAGCATTTTTTTCGAGTTTTCTTTCCACTTTGTTATATTTCTCAGCGGGGTTTCCTCTTCTAAACAACCGTTTTGCTTATTATTACTTTTTCTTTCGACATTTATTTGCGTTCTTAATTTCTTGGAAGGCGAAGATACCCCTCAGATGTCAGCGGCGGGACAGATGGAGACCTACCTTGGCATGGACTCCATGGATAAGGTGGAACCACAGCTCTCGAACTTACATTGCCCGATGAAACATTTATCTAACAGCCTGTACGGTTAATCAAAATCAAACGCAGAATGATCAGTGTATAAAACTGGTTGGAATTTTGTCAAAAAGGCAGTGACGGTAATTGCAGTATTCTCTTGAACATGATACTGGAAAGTTTAAGGTTCCTCTGAATGGAATGTAACGAGGGCGCTCGTCACCTTTCAAGGTCCTTGTGCCTCCCGCTTGAAATGTTAAAGTTTACAGGAGTTCTTTTTTAAATTGGATTAAATCCAGCTTAAGACCCCAAACGACGAGGCTTCAAATGCCCTACCAACTTTTATAAGTTTTAAGCCCCGTATTATGCTTTCTTTGCAGAAACGATTATTTTTGAATATTGCAAAATGACCCTTTGTCTCATCAAACTTCAGATTTTCAAGGCTGTGCAAAAGTGTTGGGCATCACAGTTTTCATTTCAGGCCGTCCAGTATCGAAGGTGAAAACCAACATTTGTCTGTCACGATTTCTTAGATCATGCAACGTAATGAAGTAAGCCTGATATGAAAGGTATAGGTTTATGAAAACGTATTATTCAAGAGGTCAGATGTTACTGGCAGAGTCGCAGCGACAATTTTGGTTCGGATTTTAGGGAAAGAAAACCCAGGTACCTGTTTTTATGTGTCAAAGTGCACCTTTTTCAATGCAAAGTGAAGTTAATCGGATGGACCTTTCCTTGCGCAAACACTATTCCTGTTAACCATCAGCCACCAGTTTTCATTAGAATCTGCAGACCTATTTCTTCTTTCCATCCACTTAATTATATGTCATTTTTCGTACGTCCCAGACAGTACGGCCAACCTGTGGAATCCTCCATGGCGGTGGTTGTGCAAGAAATAGTTCCCGCAGAAAGTGCAGGTGCGAAATCAATTTGGAATTTTGGAAAAGTATATAAAAGTCAATACAATAAGACTTTAATGCATCACACCCGAAAGTCATTGCACTGAAGTATTGGAATATATGCTGTTCAGAGATTGCCAGTTCATAGCGTCATCGACAGATCTAAAAGATCAAAAGCATAGGAAGACACGAAACAGCTCGGCCTTATATGTTTATTGTCTTAATCAGTTATCACTAGATTGATGCCAATTCTTTTAAAGCTCAAAATCAGTGTGTCCATGCTATATCCCGCAGGTGTGGTGTTCAGTCGAGATCCCATCACTGGAAACCCAGCACAAATTGTCATCAATGCCAACTTTGGGCTCGGTGAGGTACGTTTTCTCTCTCCCTCCAGTGCAGTTCCCGCCATAGAGTCTGCGTTGCTGGGAAAATTGCGCCCTTTCTTGGTGGAGCTCCGGGCTCATAGCCCTGGGCTGGGTTTATTCGTGTTGATGTTTCTGCCAGGCCTGACTTAGGTTGTCCTCACATTGGTCGAGGGGCGTGATGGCATAGGGATAAGACAAAGAAATTAGAAAAAAACATCATTACAAGTCTTATCCAATATAGCCGCTCGAAACTCAAAGAGAACGTACTTTAACATCATGAGTGTGTAAGGTTTAATTATTATTATTATAGCTATTACAACATACTTGGAAGTGGTGAACCGCGGGGTCAAAGATGGCTATTCAGAAGTCGTTGGTGTAATTTTTTTTTACAAAGTCCATAAACTGCCGACATTCTCCGACATGGACAGCCGACGCACATAGGCAGACACAAGGAATACAGAGAGTTATTTAATAATCATTATCATTATTTCAGTCAGTGGTTGCCGGTGTGAGCGAAGCCGATACCATCACACTGACGGTGGACGACCAGAAGGGCTTAACGATAAGCGAGAAGAAGATAGGGAGGAAAGAAGAAGCGATATTCGTAGGAGGTGAGTTCGGTTACATCGTAACACATGGCAAACTAATGTCGCACTATATCCAGTCTCATGATCCACCTGAATGTACCTGATTAGAGGCAGCTGTCACTCACTATTTGAGAAAGCTTCACTGAAGGCCCAACTTTGACTATTGACAATACCAATGGTCTGCCATGCACTGGCCCAATATGAAAGGGCAGTGAAATGCTCATTTCACCTCAGTGATTTTCATTGCGTGCAAGGGTTTCAGATACTCAATCAGCTGTTGGAGAAATAAGCGTGCCACTCTCGAGGGATTCTACAGATCTAACAGATATCTCTTTCCATATTCTTCAAATGGATGTGATCTAGACGGAGGAGGCACCAAAGTGACGTCACTGCCCTCGGCTGAGTCTGCCAGATGTGCACTCTCAGATGACACGTGTTTGAAGCTCGGCCGCATTGCGCTCATGGTAAGCCAACAGTCGGGGTATTTTTTCGTAAAAAGCATCCCCCCAAAAAACCTGTTGACTTTATTGGCGCACCATTTTGCACTTTCATTTTATTGGTCGAATTTCCGCGACAAATCGACATTACGATTTCCGGGCTAGCGCAAGGGAAGACTGAGAAGTGTGCGTGAGCTCCAAAACTGGACCGATCTGACCGTGCACTGGACGACCGATTGAAATAAAACATGTTTCATTTTTGCTTACAATTTCACCATATCTGACATCACATAGAAGAGATACATGGGAAAAATTCCGATTCCACTGGACGTAATTTTCAGATACGCGAAGAATTCAGACACATGACTCAAAAGGAATCCCGGTAAAATCTGGGCCCTGTCATCATTTGACGTATCAGCACGTGGGGGGGGGGAGTAAGTAGCCGTGCGGTGTACTTCAGCAGTGATAAGAACCAAACATGTGATGCACCGGTCCGTGGTGATCCTATCAAAATTTAGGAACAGTATGGCTGGGCTCTACATTTTCTCTTTCACTTTTGTTCCAGTTGGATGAGTATTTCTGTGATGCCAGGGATATTGAATATGCAATGGTGGGAGATTCAGTATACCTTCTACAGGTAATGCATGTCTGTTTTCTTGTCAAGCACAGTGTCATCCTAGGATCATAACACTGATCTGTCTGAGTTTTAAGGGTTCCAAATGCCCGGGGGGATTGAGTACTCTTTGGAAGATGGATGAACGTGGAAACTTGTTGAGACATTTTTTTAATAAATGGTGTCGACTTCCTTTTTTGTTTGTTTTGTTTTTGTAAGAAAGGTACACATTTATTACAGGTACTAGCTTTTAAAATTGAGAAAGAAAATGCGGTTCATTAGATGAAATTTATCCTACAGGCACGTGCTATAACAACGTTCGATGTACCGGGCCGATACGAGCTGCTACACGAGTTTGATACCGGAATGCCAACCGATCGAGTCCTCATCACTACAGGCAATTTGCAGTAAGTCATGAGTTGACTTCCACTACCAAATGGCTGTGGTCGTCCCACAGGATTCTTTAACATCGACGACCATGTAATGCTCATCTTGGCTACAAAGTTGACTGACAAGGAAGTCCTAGAGGGACATGTGCAAAACTTGAATCTTGTACCTGATTTGTTTTGAGGGACATTCCCCCTCGGGCTCCGTAGATTTACGATCCTTACCTGACGCTGCTTTAAAGTATGACTGAAAACTTCCGAACAGGTTTTCAGCCCGAGCTGTACTTCGTCGTCTCTTTGTTGTTTGCGAGTTTTAAAGGTATAACTACGTTGATATTTGAAGTTAATCATGGTGAAGGTGGCAAGTTAAGTCATAGGCATGTGGTAGCACCAGTCGCAACATCCTTTGTGTGATGTTTAGTTCCAGGGGCAGATCTAGTAATTTTTCCGGGGGGGAGGCAGGCTAGAGGTTTATTTTAATATCTCATTTTTGCTGACATGCGGAAACGGTGATGAAACATTACCCGGCATACATTGTTTACCGTGGTGGTGCACTCACCTTGTACACATAAGCAAAATCTGTGGAATGCTATCTTGTTTTGGAATTTTTTTCTTTTTTTATTAAATTGCCTACCCCATTTTTTAAAACCATTTTTGTCTCAGAGCAGGGGGGGCAGGGGGACCCCCAACCCCCCTGGATCCGCGCCTGGGTATACGTATACTCACCTATTCACACACTACATTTTTGCACAGTGCTACCGCAAACCAATTATTAACTTGTAACTACGTTCTTTCTCAATTTAACACGTCAGTTCTTGCTACTTATCGGTCTATAACCCTTTGTACGAGGAAGTGTCTTCTGCCAAATAATAACCCGTTTCCACCCCCCATTTGTTAACAATTTGGAGTGTTGTGGGCCCCAATCTGGTTTAGGACAAGGGTATACGAAAGCTATGCAGTGCATAGCCTTTATGTACGAGCTAGTGCATGATAGACCAGCAACGGATTTTGGCGTCATGGGAAATCTTTGGTGTTGTCATGTTCTGATCTCCAGAATTTTGTTGGAAAATACTTGTTAATCCCCCGTGCACAGGGAGATGTGCCCTGGTAGCGTTACGCCACTGACATTCACTCACTTCTTTTGGGAATGCGAACTCAGTTTCCAGGTAAGATTAAAAAACCCAGACAGACTACTTTTTTTAGTATCAAACTGTGTTGCAGAGAAATAATTGCAGAAAAGAGCAATGAACGCAGAAGTGTTGCTTAATCTGTCATGAGCTGAGAATACTCTAGTCGTACTGTTTGAAACCCTGACCAATCCCGTCCAGGAAACCTTTGAGAAACCAAATAATCAGAGCCCAAAGACAGGTGTACTTAATTTGGTGTTTAAACCTTTGGTTTTACCCCCTTTCAATAAAGCCAAGGAAGCAAAGATCCGAGAAACAGTTGTAACCAAATATTTTGGAAAAAAATAATGAGACGTGTTTGAGAAATTCAAAATAGTGCGCGACTTAATTTTTGGAACACTATTTTTGCTCCATCCAGCTGGAACACATTGGACTCGGTAGGCCTATGATTCTACCCAACTTCAGAACGGTCTACTCCTTCTATAACCAGGCATTCTTCAATTTGACGGTAGGTAAATGATTCCACAAAATAGTATGAAATTGTCTCTGCCCAGAAATATTCCACAAGTCTCCAAACGCCAAACTTGCGTCTGATTATTCGGGGATTGATTTCTTTACTTTCAGGACCTGGTTTGCTTTGCAACACGAGCCAGCATGTTCACAACGAAAGAGATGGGACCTTCTATAAGCGGCCAAGTGAGTACCTACGCTGAAAAATTGCCTGGGTTAATTTAACCCAAGCAGGGGTGAAAACTGCAACTACCCAATAGTTCAGGTTGTTTCAACCTTATTTGGATGATTGAAATTAATTTCTGGGTAGTTTTAACCAAACAACGGTTAATATACTCTCATTTTGTGGATGAAAACTGAAACAGAAAGTAATTCTCAACCCAAAGTTTGGTTAACACAGCCCATATTTGGGTATAGTTGCAGTTTTCACCCTTAATTGGGTTAAAATTTAACTCAGGCAATTTTTCAGTGTATGTAGCCTATATAAACATACCCATGTGGTGTCGAGTGTACAAAGCGAGCAAGGGTTGTCTTGTAATTAATCAAAGGAAAGCCCACCAGCCGAAGCAAAGCTTTTAGAAGACATGAAATATCAGATCGACAAAAAATCCTAGAGATGTGAAACGCGAGTGTAGACATGCTGCTTCGATGAACACGCCCCCGTCTGACATAGCGTGACCCGGTACTACTCTAAAGCGAAGCCCAACCAACCCAAGCCAGCCTCGACCGACTGGACCCAATCCAATTTGATCTGAATCCACCCCAACCTCATCTTTTTTTCAAACTAGGCCCCCGCTCAAATCACTCATGAAGTCAATGTTTTTCTACCCTCTCTATCTTCAAAGGAATTAGAAGACGAAGACCTCGATGAATCGACCAGGATCATATCAGATCACTGTCCTTTGCCCGGTTGGCGCTCTCACCTCAACACGCTCAAGATCCTTAAGGTACATGAGAGGTCGAAGGTTGGATTTCTGTGTTTGTTTTGCTGTTTAGTTTTATTTTTAAAATATAGAACTCAAAAAACGCCTTAATGATTTAATTCTGTGACCTGTGTAACATGTTTGAACAGGCCAATGGACCTCGTTCCGAGGCAAATTAAAAATGTTCCGTAATTTTGTAATTTGGGGGTTTTATAGCAGTTTGTCTTCGAGGTATTTAAGCGAGTCGGGCCAACTTCGGGTGCCTCTCAGTATGTTCTTTTTACTTATTACATTTTAATTGACGCACAAATAATGAAGCAAATACCGCCAGCGAAGTGGTGGGTGGTGGGATTTGTCCCACTTTACTAGCATAAGAGATGGTCCTATGTTCAACTTCAAATTCCAGTCGGGCATTATGATTTGTTTGCAATTGTTTTCTCTTCATCTGTTGTTTAATTTTACCATACTTAATCACTACGATGCAGAAAATGGGGGAAAGTCGACGTGGCCTGGACGCGTTAGTAGAAAGAGTTTTGCAGACTCTGACTAAGCACTGGACGACAGCGCAAGAGCAGTTTGATGACATCATGGCGAATATGAACTCTGACATTGCCCTGGTAAGAGGCGTCAAACATGCGTTGAAACTACATTTTCTATGAAAAAATCAGACGAATACTTTTAAATGTTTGCATGAAGTATGAGATCGATACCGTATAGGGTGTTAAGATGTAAGGGTATACCGGTGTGAAGAGCATCTCTAAAATGGCATCGGTATTCAGAGAGAACATCGTGAAAAGTTACTTCAAACTATTTAAATAAACATGCCTTTTTTGCTCAAAATGAAATTTCAGCTACCTTTTTAAATATTGGGATCATAACCTTTTCCAGGGGACGACGTACCACCTGAATGAAAGTACCAAGTCCTCAATCAGCCGACGGGTCATCATTGAGATTCTCAGCCGAGCATCAAAGGGTACGGTATAGAAAACTTTGAATATTTAAGTGAGGGTGGCGATTATGCCACTCTGCATGCGCATGCCCAGAGGACAGTGAAATTATCAAAGATTTAATCAACAAGAAACAAAAAGAAATTAATAAAAAAAGTAAGATTTGTATAAGGATCCGCCCTTTTTGCCCCGTTTCTGTCGCAGACCCCATCTATGAAAACTGCAACTGCTTTCAAAAGCTAGACAAAAAAGCATGGTTTACTCTTAACAGACTCTTGTGGAGTTAAGTCGGCGAGGCTCAGTGTGATAGAGGAGTGCGCGACATTACCGAAATGGCATTAGGTGATTTACGTCAAGAAATATTTGGTGCCGTGAGGACGAAACCCAAAGCCATCTTCACAAAATACGCTATACAAATAGGCCTGGATCTGTCGCTCGTTACGTCACCAACGCTGTTTTTGCAAACGATGGTTGGCTTACCCATGGCTGGCCATGAGTATAAAACCAAGAATTACTTCATAAAGTTTTGCAATCAAGTTTCACACACATAATAACCCACCCAAATTGAATATTTCTCTTGATGAAAATGACTTCCATTTCAACACTTTCTTAAGAAGCAAATGTACATTTTAAGGCAAAAGTTGTCGCTAACAACGGTTGAAGTTTCTGCAAACTTTGGGTGCTCTCATGAAAATGGTGGTCAATGTCTGAAAACAAAATAAAGAGTTACAAGGATGAGGCCTGAAATAGAGAAAAAAATGACGGATTGCAAAGAGGAGTCAAGGAGAATGCCAAAGGCTGCCTAAAATCTCTGTTCCCCATGGCGATCTTTACCGTGCTCGCTTCATTCCATAGATATAAATGCGGATGGTGCGGCCGCCATGTTGCTCTCCTCGTGCCCAGGGGTCGTGAGTGCCGATGTACCTCTTGCCATTGAGGTTTGTGTTTTGTTTTGTATTGTTTTTTAAGGAGTATAAATACATATGTTTCCAATACTGCACAATCAAAGTTTTTGGATGAGAATCAGAAAAAGGTTTCTTTCCCTTAGTGTATGGATTCTCCTTGGAGGGACAAACATACGAAATGCTCATAGTTGTAAAGATGAATTATTGTACTTTGACCAAACGAAACCTTAGCATGAACAAATAGTGGGGTTGGCAGATTTGGTTTAATTTGAAAACTCTTCTTAGGCCTATAGTCAGCAAATTTAAAGCAAGTGTAGGCCTATACAGCTTTCGCGTCACATACCTCGAATAGTGTTTGGCATAAAAACGTATCAAGCATACCAAGCTTGGTTGAAAACGACCCTAAAATCTTCTTTTGGACGTTTAAATTCTGATTAAATTCTGATTCTCCCTTTGAACAGAGAGTGGGCTTGGCCATAGTTCACGAAGGGATGGGCGACACTTTCCGAGATATGGCCCCAGAGCAGGCACTAGCTTGGATCCAGTCTCCCTCCAGTGGGTCGGCCGGAACTGCCTTCGCTGACTTCTTGAAAGTCCATGGACATAGGTGCATCAAGGAGGTCAGCTCAGAAAAATAATCCTTTTCCCTTTTCATTTCAAATAAACGTGTAGAGAACTCCACTTATATAGCAGTTTGAGTCACGAGATGATGGTGCAGACGAGCAAACTGTTATGAACGACATCTGTTACAAATCTGGGACGACGTGGACTGATCTGAGGAGACACCGTAATGCGGGCGTGCTATTGGCGAGTCGCCCTTTGGGCGAAGAGGCAAACGCACGCGTATAAACTATCCAAAGCATGTTTTCACTGCAGTAATGGCTTCTAACTGTGCCAAATTTCTAAGCTGTCATTTCAAGAAGAGTCAGCCGCAGGTTAACTTCTGGGATTCGTTCATCGAAACAGCGCATATTATTTTGCCTCAGTCCAACAATGTCTGTGCAAACTTTCCCTTGTACAAACCTCCATGGAAACAATGACCGATACTTATTTTAATAATCCGGCATCTCCGAACCACCTCCGCTCTGGGCATGTTATATAGTTTTTCATTGGTAACTTTCTATGACTGCATGCGTTTACTTGTTTTTTTTTTATTACAGATTGAGATGAGAGAAAAATCCTGGGGGATGGAACCAGTTCAAACTATACCAATTTTACAGGTTACCCAGCCAAAATGTCTGCTATGTAATACTGATTTTTACTTGAAGCTGATAGTAAGGAGACAGGGTACACCTGTAAAGTAATTTGCTTTTAATCGGGCCAACGTAGGTTGATAACCAAAGGCAACAGCAACTGCATTGGAGCTTTGCTAAAGGCCGTACCTAGATCGGCCACAACTGCAGCCCATTTTAAAACATGTAAACCGTATCAAAGACAGCTATACTAGCCTCTTAGGCCATCTTCGACTCCAGAAGAAAACCAACTTGGCAAACTCTGCCCTTTCGTTCTCATTCTTTTTTAATAAATTAAAAGTTCGGTTTACATCTTAGGCGGCAGAAATCTAATTGCTAAACATAATTTTTATGTCTTTCGGTTTTACTGATCAAAAGTACTTTTAGCTTTACTTTTTAGACTGTAGTATATAACAATTTTCCTTGTTTTGTTTTTTGTCCTTGTGAGTCGTAAGAGTTGCGTTTTGAGAGCTTCGTATTATTCTGCTCGTACAGACAGTATCAAATCTTTCTTTTAATCAGTTTGAAGGACAAACATTTTGCTGACCCGATGGTTTTGAATTACTTAATTACGGCATTAAGATTTGCTTGTTGCAATTGCAATTGCACATGTCAGAAATTATGTCCACCCGATAAGCTAATTCAGGATTATTCAGAATTGTAGAATTACATTTCGGTTATAAACGAACCTTAAAATGCTCTAATTTCGTGTTTGTTGAAGGCTATTTTAGCGTCTGGTTCCCTTTCAACGTCCACAAACAAGACATATCTGAGTGCCGAGGAGGCTGTCTCGCGACTCGAGGTTCCGCTTTCGAAGATAGTAAGGTAAATCTATCCAGCTTTCATATTTATGGTATTGACGTATTGTTATTTGAATTTCCTTGACGAGAAAATTTTCGTTATGCTGTTGCTGTTGTTTTAATCACAAATTGAGTTTAAGAAGTCCCTTTCTGTGTGATACAATTGTTTTTCTTTACTATTTTTGTCATTATTAATAGACTGCTAATGATCAATTTACTCGTTCCCTGGGCCCGCAAGTCCGTCGCGAAAAGAGAATTCAGCAAGGTGAGAACCTGTGACAAAAATGCGATTGAACAACTGACGACTGAAAGATTAATCTCTTAAAGTCAACTACTTTAAAACCGGAGGTCAGTGCGGTTTTTAATACTGTAGAAAAAAGATTATTTCTATTTTTTCGACGAATGTTGTCGACTTGGTTTTTGTTTTCGGTTTTTAGTCTTTAATTGTACGACTGAATCACCACAAGAAGGAGGCTTACTGGAGACTTGCAAGACTCATGGTCAAAGAGGTAACGCCGTGCGTTGATTAAAAGCCATTAATATAGTAATCCAGCGACCAGTTGTATAGATAGGAACATATGTAAAATGACAGGATCGCATTGGTAATTATGAGTGGGTATTTCATCACGCTACATGGATAGCCTGACATACCATATTATTAGAAAGGCAAGTGAAATCCCGATAATTTCGCACCCAAAAACCGACTATCCTTAATGGTGACTGTCGGGATCGTACCTTATATTAAATTTATAAAATATTATAGGCCTAATATTTAACCTTTTAAGTACATGGATGGATGATTTTTCCATTTGTCTGCATTCTGTATCACATGCAGGGGCGCCTTCCTGACGAAGATTTGTTGTTCTTTTTTACACCAACCGAGATGGGTCGTTTACTAAATAATAGATCACCCGCTCTAGTTTCGAGGTAAAAGCCACAGTTTTTTCTAACTAAGGTTACTGCTCATATATCACATCTTACTTAGTGAGGAATGCTGTTCTTTGTCATTCACCCTAACTTTCACGCTTAACCACAGCTGTTGACGCATTGGCGTTAGGTCTATAGCATATCATGTGGGGTAAACGAGTCTCTCCGGGAGACTATATCGCTACGGCGGTCGAATAAAGTGTTGATGGCATCGCGTCATCATTGATTTTTCTCGTGGTTATTATTTGTTCGCTGCACCTGCCGATTATGTCTGTGGACTTTTCAGACGGGCAGAGTGGCAGTAATTCAATTCAGGGTAAAAACTGACCAATTTCTCTTGACCCAGGGCTCTACGGAGGCGTCGTATCTTGCCCGAGCAGAACCAGTTCAGGTTCCCGCTCATCTTCAATGGAATACCGCAACCGGTTGGTACAGTTTCAGAACTTTGGTACTCAATTTTTTGAATCAGAGTTAGACATTATCTTAAGCCTGTCAAAATTCAGCCCAAATGTCCTGAAAAAAAAATATAACTGCAGAAGACGCTTAGTTTTAGAAAGACATAAAGTGCCAGAACTGAAACGCGAGACAGAAGTATCTTTCATGAGAATGCAGCCTAGAAATCTGACCAGTATTCATTCCTCGGAAATTTGTCGTTTGTTCCAATTCTTGTGGAGAAACAGAAGGAAAGAATAATTGTTTGTCAGAAATTTAATATATCCTGCTTGATGATTCTTCTAAAGATGCAACTCAATATTCCATCAATCATCACATATGACCATTTTCTGTGGGCCTATTTGTTTCAAATGTTAATGAACATTTACCACTTTCTATCACAGATTTCCGAAGAAGCAAATTCAGACAAAGCTGAGATACAATTACAAGGTACTGAATAATTTTTGAAAGTATTATAAATATAATATCACTTCATGGTAATTTTTATAACTGCCATTACTTGCAAACCCTTCAAAGTCCCCTAACTGATAGATATCGCACGATATATCTGCCAAATGCTCAAACAAATATACATATACTTGCATCCGAACGAGGGATTGCAATCTCTAAAACTGATGTTGTGTAAATTTTGCTCCACAATGATTGTCTATAACGCTTGATCGTTCAGGTTTGCCCATCAGTCCAGGGGTTGTAAAAAGCACAGCCAGGGTCGTCACAACTCTGCAGGATGCGGCCAGCATACAGGTGATACCATAGTACCATTGTAGAAGTCATTGACACATGACTATCAATCTTCAGAAAGCAGTTAAATTGCTCTGTGATAGCATAGCAAACGCTGGAGTCATGGGTCTTGTATCGGCGTAAATACGTAGACATTGTTGCACGCAGGGATGTACAAATCACAAAGTAGTTACAGTAGATGTGTAATGGAAACATTTCCTAAGGCAGTGTTGCCGACATGTTTACAAAACCAAAAGAAACACCTAAGTTAAGATTTCCACTGATCTCCATGTGCAAGCGAAGATATGGTCGCCGATGGAAACACTTTACAATCAGTCTCGCAACGCGATACAAAACAAAAATCATACTCAATAGTAAGGCCAAGCAAGACGGCGGACATAACTCTGAAGGTACTGTTGCCTTAATGATGATGGTGGCATTAATGATATCACAGTATTATGCCATGGAGCATTCTTTCATCTGGGACGCTTTCATGCACTCAATACGTCCGTTGAGATAAGGATTCAAGCTAGCCCAGAAGGCGTTAAGTTGAAGAATGCTGGCGCAAGCATTCGAGTCCAATGCATCTTCAATATAAACACCTCCTCTGAAGTTAATTCAGTTTTTGGTTTATACAGCAATATGTATGTGTTTTCTATCACTATCTAGCGAGGAGATATTCTAGTCACAAGAATCACAGACATTGGTTGGAGCCCATACTTCCCTCTCATTAAGGGTCTGGTGACAGAGATAGGTGGAGTCATGTCTCACGGTGAGTGGAGAAAGCCAAGAGACTCATTATAAGCTTTAGGCTTATTTGAGCCAGTTTGACATCAAGCTGCTGTTTGGAGTTCTAGATTTTCATTTGGAGACAATTCCACGTTCTGATTTATAGAGGGCAGGAACAAAGCTCTCGATGCATTGGGGATTTGACTTTTGCACACTTTTTTGCGGAACAAAGCCCTTTTCATGAATAATTCACTTGCTTTGAAATGGAAGGGCGGGTTTCCAATTTCGTCCGTCACAGAATTCAGACAATCACCAAGTTTGAAAGAGATTATAAACCAAAACTTTGCAAGGGAAAACGAAAAAGTGCCTGTTAACCCTTTTTGGAGATTCAAATGCGGGTCCCTGGATCGACAGGTAGATGCAACACCGACAGGTCTGCAACAGGTGTTCCGAGGTCAAAGATTCTTCAGTATGACACAGTCGTCGTGTAAATCTGAAAGTCGTAGTGACGCCATTATTCTTTCCTAAGAATTTTTGTTCCATCGAAACTTCTGAATTGCCCTTACAAATCGCCTTATCTACCTATGGAAAATGTGCCTGGTTCCGTCAATCATTTCATAGAGTGCCGAAGTCAATTTGTTCAGGTGGTTATTGTCATGAGGCATGCTTTACTCGGATTTATTTCAGGTGCCGTTGTCGCTCGTGAGTACGGCCTGCCTTGCGTTGTCAATGTCCAGCGGGCTACCGTTGTCTTCCAGTCAGGTTGGTCAAGGATAAAAGAAATAGCGAAAAACCACTCTTTTCAATTCAGTTCCGACAGGGGAAGGAGAAGAAGGAGGGAAAGTTGAATTTCGTAAAGTTTGCAAAAGTTAGCCGGTAAAACAGACACATATGCCTGGTGTGGACCTGTTTTGTAATCCAGACTGGCGTCGAGTTGCATGATTACAGACTTTCTCTGTCGGCATAATAAAGGCCTGTTACTAAATTTTACCCAGTCACAAAATCTTTAAGGTGTACAGGTTTTGTTCAACGCGGAGAATTGCCTCTTTTGCCACAAAAAGCATTGAAGGGCATTAATGCCGCCTCAAATGATTGGTCTTGCCGAGTTGACCACAAAAAAGTGTCTTTGCCCGGGTTTGAAACATCAAGTCACTCTCCAAATTGAAAGACGAAGATACTTGCAACTCCATCCTAGGGATATGTAGGTCTGCTTATTTTATGACACTTCCGGATTTGTATTTACAAAAATGCCCTTGCTCTCTTACGCACTCCCAAAACCCCGAGTGTGGACACTGTTTCTCAGTGGTTCTGTTTGTGTTTTTGTCTCAGGTGACGTTGTTCTCCTGGATGGAGGCAAGGGGACCATCTGTAAAATACAGAGCGATGAGGACTGAACGCGTCTTGTCAGGGATGGATGCCCTATACAGTTGATAAACGGAATGAATACCTTAGTATAGATTTCCCAGCTTTGAAGTTGGGGAGGAGGCCCGACTGTTGTTCCACGGCCATATTGGATGAATATTTTCCTATTAATTTTTCCTCGGATGTGCATTGTCAGTGGTAAATGAATACCGCTTGTGAGATGTTTGTCGGTTTGGATTTTACTGTGAAACAAAATTCTGATTGTGCCTAAATTTTACTCCTAGTACATGTGATTATTGAAAGCAATGAACATGCATAACGTTGAAATTATGATTTAAATCGCCAATTTTTTTAATGCACTTATTCCGCGTTTATACGTCAGCGCACACTGTTCATAAAATTTGATTCGTAACAGCAGCGTATTCAGTTTTGGTATGGGGGCAGGGATTCCAAAGCGAATATGGCTTCGGGCTTATTCAACATGATGTTTGGGGAGCCAAAAAAACCAGAAGCCTTTCTCGAGGTCCCGGTATCCTAGCTTTTATTTCCTGACGTTGTTTTCTCATGGCTTTGATGCTAATGTTATACTGCTCGCTTATTCTTTGTTTTTAAATCCGTCGAGGGGGCAAGATGCCTCCTGCCCCCCCCAGCTGTATAGGCTACTTGGTTGTAAAAGTTTTTCTTCCAATTTAAAAGATTTTTTTGTAATCTAAGCGCAATAAACACATGTGCTAGCTCATTAAACTCGTAACAAAACTATTCTAAAATAATGCACTAGTGTATCTTATAGTGCCATTTCGTAGCGGAAGTTTTTAAGTTCACCGATGTGAGACCAAAATTTTATTTTATATCGGGCAAGCAGACCACTGACCATCTGCCTGACGAATCATTGGGAAATTGTAGTTCGTGATTTGAACAGCGTCACAAAATCGGTATGTTAAAATATCGAGCAAATTGACGAAAATATAACGTGGTGTATGAGCAGAATACCTAAACTCTGTAAACCATTTGGGATACCATGAAAACCAGTATGCTTTCCGCTTACAATATTGTTTGGTTTCGCAAATGAAGAACACAGTGTGTTCGTTGCACTTTTGATTTTTGATATTTTCGTTGAAAAGTTGACGACCGAATGGGATATGGCACATGGGATACGATATAACACCAAATTGTATTATAAACTGGCAGTGAGCTCACGAGTACAGTGCGCGCCCATGCACGCCTTCGGCCTTGGGAAAAAGGGCCTTCTTCTGGGTACTCACAGGCCATAGGGGGCTATTGATGTGAGCAAGTGTCCAAATTACATGTAGGCCTATGCCAGTCCACATGTGTATTATAATGTACCTTAAACTAAAATGTAAAATAATTTTTTTTAGTGTTTTATAAGTGAAGTGTTTTAATTCAACTTCACAAGTAATTAGCCATTCAACAAGCAATACAATAAATAAAGGAACGGTTTTTGTAGCCTCTTTATAATTTTGGACATGCGTGTCATTGTTCTCGTCCTGTAAGGGCATTGTAGCTATCAAACAATAATTTGAGTAATAATGCCTGACCGGGCAATTGTCTCTGGGATTCACATGTGCGCGATGTCTTTTCCAATTCACCCTGACGTGGCCTGTATCCACCTCAAGCAGAAGCACCCCCCCCCATCGGTTGAAAAGAGCCATATTAATTGGTCGGGAGTGTTAATTTTGCTGATAGCGACGCGCCCATAACACGTGCATTTCAGAGTCGCTTTTGAACTAGCAAAATGCAGTTCCGATCAAAGGGCTGAGTTTGGGCAACCTGTTCTCGTGTGTTCACTTCCAGTACCTTCTTAAATATGCACGCACAGAGGCAATTAACATAAAGTTTTTACTTTTTGGCGCTTCCCGTGCAGGCAGCGTCTACGTGCTCCCTTTGCATTTCCTTCGATTTTGTGGTGGTTCGCTACATAAATGAAAAAAACAAAAACAACCCCCCCCCCCAAAAAAAATAGCATTTATCCTTTAGCTTTATGTATTCAACCTGGAAAATTGCCTTGTGGGTCTTCACTCAGGAAATTAAGAAAAAATGTGGT